GAAATTCTGGACCCATAGCTAAGTAGGTAGGTGCATCATCCATTCAATTATCCCTATATATAGCATTTCAATTCTATATGTATTTATTAAACAGTGACTATTAAGTACACTAAAAGTATTATATACTATATAGTACCACCGTACCATATTAACACAATATTCCTATTTTTTTTTTAAAGAAAAAATATGTGCCAACATGCATATAATCTTTGTAATTGAAATTGATTTGACTAATGTTATACTACTCAAGTTTGTTATGCTCTTCAGCCATGGATTCATTTGTTATGTTATTTGAGTTTATTTGGAGACGGTACTAATCAAATTCACATGTTATTTACCGATTAACAAAAAAAAAAAATATATTATGAATATTATGTTAATTGAGATGTGACTTTCTCCAAAGCTCCCACTTATGTATCATATCATCAAACTTAATAATAGTAGACTCTTCCTCTTCTCATTGAAATCAAAATTGCCCTAATTTCTATTCATTCAGTTCTTTTTTTTTTTTTTCCCTCATTTAACATTCGATATCTCCATCACTTTAATTTAATACTAATTTGAATTCGACTTAGGTAGAGTTTGACACCACAAAATGCATGCATCCAACGATCCTAGGGGTGTAAATGAGTCAATCTATTTGTGAGCTATTTGGACTAAATTCGATGAATGTTCCAATTTAATTCTGTTGCTGTCGAGCTGAACTCAAAACTGAGTAGTTCAAATAACAAATTAAACATAATTCAAACTTTCTAATATTCAACTAAGGATAGCTCAAGAGTCTAATTTAACTTTTATTTTTTATAATATAATAAATTTGACTATATAAAATGCTATTCCTGATATATAATGTAATATTACGTTTTTGTTATGATATTGTAAAACATTTCTTAATATATTTTTTGTGTAAAAAGTAAAATTAAAAATCTTTATTCATTTTATTTTAGCTAAATTAAAATTAAAATGCCAAATGCCCAAATATGAGAAAAGGGTCGGTTTCGCTCTGATCTGATCATTGCTTTATCCGAGGTGGCGTACGGCGTTTAACGTTGTTGAATTCCAAATTGGGTCGGGCACGAGGCACAGAATGCCAAGATGATTTTTTTTTTTCTTTCTATTTTTCTATTTATTTATTTATTTATTTTAAAGAGACAGTACACAACCTGTCAAGCTAGCGATAGAACATCCATTTAACGTAACCTATTTCTTTTATATTTAATAATGTCCTAAAATAATGTTAGGAGGTCCATCGGACGGTATTAAACAATAAATAAATAAATAAATAATCGAAGGCAAAGAAAACAGTGCAATGCTGTGAGGGCTCCACCCACAAACATTAGTCAATGGTCAACTTAATATATGTGTAGTCAAAATATGGTCTCGGCTTATGACTGCTTTTTATTTTAATTTTGTAGGGATTGGATTTTTAAAAAAATAAATAAAATAAAACAAAAGAAAAATATTTGAACTGACCACTCATTTCTAATTCATTACTTTTATTAATTCTATTTAAATTCTCGTTAACACATCAAATAAGTTAAATAAAATAATACTAATATCTCATAATAAAAGATGTTATTTTTTTTTTTTTGAAAATAACATCTTTTATTATAACATTTTTGAAAAGATGTTATTTTCAAAAATTATTTATATCACATCTTATTATATATAATGTATATGGTCTGCCATTAGTGTCAAACTCTTTATATTTATTAGGAATATAACCAAATAAGGGTCATTGAACCTTAAAAATCAACAATTAGGTCCCTAAATTAATCAATTTCAAACAATTCTTTCAATTTAAAAGTTTCCAACAGGTCAACAAGTCATCCTCTAAAATTAATTATTTTTTAAAAAATAAATTTTAAAAATTAATTATTTTGAAATTAAAAAAAAAAAAAAAAAAAAAAAAACTGGACTCCGGCCGGAGACTCTCAGTCTCCACGGCCAATTTCTTCGTCTGCGGCCGTGGAGATGAAGAAACCGGCCGGAGACGGCCGGAGTCTTGTTTTTTTTTTTTTTTTTTTTTTTTTAAATTTATTTTTTAAAAAATAACTAATTTGGAAGATTGACCTATTGGAAACCTTCAAATTGAAAAAAATATTTGAAATTGGTTAGCTTAGGGACCCAATTGTTGATTTTTTAGGTTCAGTGACCTAATTGAATTATTGTGTGCAGTTTGATAGCCTATTTGACCCTTATTCATATTTATTATTTCAAATTTATTTATGAATCTTTTTTTTATTGGAACAAATTAAATGAAATTTGGTACAAAAATATATAGAAACTCAAATGCAGCATTACAATTACATAATATATTAGAATTTTTTTTTTTTTGTTTTTTTTTTGTTTTTTTTGTTTTGTTTTGTTTGTTTGTTTTTGTTTTGTTTTGTTTTTGTTTTTGTTTTTGTTTTTGTTTTTGTTTTTTGTTTGTTTTTTTTTTTTTTTTTTTGCCATTGGAGCAAAATGTCAGACAAAAATTAACAAATATAATCATAGCCACCTGAGTTGTAGGAACACTGCTCTGAGACCTTTCATCATTTTTAGTTTTGACTATCCCCTCAAAAAAAAATTAATAATAGTAATAATAATGGTGAAAAATAAAAATAGAAGTAAACAATATGAGCAGGCCATCCATTAGTGGGGTCCACTATTTGCATGTGTACAATATATGGAATTATTGTATGTATATCAAATAAAGTATTATGAGATATACCTAAAATTAGAAGAAAACAGTGAGGGGTCAAGAACAATTGAGAGACCAGTATAGAATGACTTGCACAACTTAACAAATAAATAATGTAGATATTGACTATGATATATATATATATATATATATATATATATATATATATATATATATATGTATAGCAATATATATGTATAGAGGAGAATGATCAATTAATGATAGATGTGGGCTAGGTAAAAATTACATATCAAATCTAATCGTTGGTCTGAGATGACCAAAGGACGGTAAAATAAATGATAGGACCGGTCTGTCCTATTTTTGTTGTACTGATATTATGAGATCAGAGCCAATAGTACCTCGTACAAGTAGATATACTATACATGACTGTATTAATACGGGTGTTAATTGGTACTTTTAAAATATTCATATAAAGAAATAAATTATGCAATTTAAATAGTATGCTAAAACACATGATGGGGATATTAATATACTAATACAAATTAAAAAATTTAATTAAGCAGGGTGGTGGTGGTGGTCCATCAAGTACACTGCTCATTTGCCTTGCATATCAAGCAATCTTTGTACCCTCTCTCTCTCTCTCTCTCTCTCTCTCTCTCTGAAACATCCATGCCAAGAGAATCATGATCACCACTCCCAGCCCAAACCCCATGTGAGTAACTATCATTTTAATTTTTCTTTAACCTCATATTGCATCAAATTATCATATTATTTTGTTTTGTTTATCCTAACACAAAGATGTCTTTATATATGTAACTTTAATTAATAATTTCCCTCATTTAATTAATATAAGCTTCTCCCTATCTAGCTTACACTACCCTGTATGTATACCCCCCCCCCCCCCTTTTAAGTAGTACTATATGTGCTGCATGGAGAGAAGAACATATTAGTAGTGTTTGAGTGTATGTGGATTATTTCATAATTAAGTTATTTTACAAATGAAAATTGTCCATATATACAAAGTTAGATGTATATATATACTATAAATGCAGCATACATATATACATATACACAAAAAGATAATTATGAAAAAGTAGAGCATGGAGTACATGTTTGATATGGATTTGCTATGAGGGAGAAAGTGTGCCAAATACGGTATAATTCACTCTTTAAAATGTCGGTTGTTTTTACCTATACATGATGGCATACATGTATAGAAGTTTAAAGAAAACATGATATATAAATACAATGTATTTTGCAATATGAAAATTTTTAAAAAATAAATTGTGGAAGTGTTTAAAATATATTTGTCATGCGCTAATAGATACGGAGTACTATATATAATCCTCATATGTATATCTAGGTATATACAATTTATACATATTTAAAGAAAACAGGAAAATATGTATCTTTTTTTAATGCTACTGACATTGTAGTATCTGTTCAAACATACTTTCTCAACCTAAACCACGGAGGCTCATGCTCGATCTCGTGACCTCCCATATGGAAAATGTCACTACATGCCATCTGAGCACAATGTGCTTGGCATACATCATATCTAACTAGCTATAAGACAATTTTGTAAAAATAGATGGTAAAAGTCTTTTTTTTTTTTTTACTACTTTAATTTATTAATCTACTCAAGCACAAAAAGTCAATATTACATCCACTGAGACTCAAACCACAACATCCCATACATCCCATATGGGTGTCACTAGACCACAATTATGGTCCTTAGCATCGTGAAAGTGTTTAAAATGTGTTTGTTCACTGCTGGAAATTATGAAATTTCCGACCACCTAAAAGTGATCTTAAATCAAGTCGAAAGTAAAAAGTGGTCGAAAATAGCAACAAAGGTTTTTTCGGATACCAAAAGTGGTCGGAACAAGGTTTTCGACTTTGATTTAAGATCATTTTCAGGTGGTCGGAAATTCCATAATTTCCAGCCGTGGTTATCTAACTAATACATAGATGATTCAAACCACAACATCCCATATGGATGTCACTAGACCACAATGTCCTTTGACATCGTGAAAGTGTTTAAAATGTGTTTGTTATGTGACTAATACATAAATATTATGCCCGGACAGCTCAGTTGGTCACAAAAGTAAAGTTTGAAACAATGACTCAGGATTGAGTCTCACCGGCTACCGTAAGGGTCACAATGCGGATTGTAAACATTCCATTCAAAATACGGTATAAAAATCAATATATATAAAACCTTGTGTACCCAACCGGTATGGTACCTAGTAGCTAGGTGTGCTTTTGAGAAGGCGTTTCCGTAGCTTTTACTTTAGTTGTCAAGGTGTATACTTATAAGGGGACTTAAATTACAAATACAACCGGTTTAGAAAGCAACCAAAGAAAGAAAGAAAAAAAAAACACCAGATTTTCTTGCGTTCTTTATTTCTTCTCTCTCACATCAGATACAAATATACAGCCGCAGAGAGAGAAACATCTAAAATTCTCTGCTGCCCAGATTAGCAAAGCGGAGGAGGAAGAAGAAGAAGAAGATAAAGGTGAGTGCAGACAGCAGACAGAGAGAGAAAGAGAGAGAGAGAGAGAGAGTCTGAGACACCTTTTCCTTTATCTCTTGAATTCATCAGTAGTATAGTGGCAGGGTGCAGCTGTCCTTTGAGTTAAAGTTAAGGAGCAAATTCTGGTGTTTTTCAGTGCCTAAAGCTTGCTTGGTTTTATACGTCTCTCCTCACCTCCTTTCTTCTTCCTCTCCACTGTTTTCTTCATCATTAATGGCCCCTTTTCCCATCTTTTATCTCACCCTAGATTAGTTCATCTCATATGGTATGTTAATTATTAATTAACCTCAGTTTATCTTTCTTTCCTTGAAAAGTTTCCAGTTCCACACCAAAAATTCCATTTTTTTTCTTTTGATTTCTGTCTTGCAGAATTGAAACACATACCCTTATGGGGAGAGATTGCTTTCACTTGAGTTGATGAGAAGATAGAGTTATTAGATTTTGTGGAAATTAGGGAATATATATAAAAGTGCAGAAAGTTAAGGAAGAGATGAATAAGAACAGCAGTCAAGTAGGATCTATCAGCAGTTCAGATCTCATAGATGCTAAGCTCGAAGAGCATCAGCTTTGTGGATCCAAGCAGTGTCCTGGCTGTGGCCACAAGCTTGAAGCAAAGCCGGTATGTTATGTTTATCACATCAGATTTTTCATTCAGTAAAAGAAAATAAAAAACAAAAAAGAATCATAGTATATAGAAACCAGAATTATGCTTGTTCCTTAATTATTCTAATTTATCTCATTTCACAAAACAGTCATTTTCTTCTTTCTCTCTCTCTCTCTCTCTCTATACCCTTTGTATATTGTATATATTTTTGGAATTTTTTTTTTTTTTTTCTGGGGAGGGATATAATGATATATGCAATGGGTGATATGATTTTTGTATATATGGAATTTGCAGGACTGGGTAGGTCTACCAGCTGGGGTGAAGTTTGACCCAACAGATCAAGAATTGATAGAGCACCTTGAAGCTAAAGTAGTAGCTAAAGAATCAAAATCTCATCCATTGATTGATGAGTTCATCCCCACCATTGAAGGAGAAGATGGGATCTGCTACACTCATCCTGAGAAACTTCCTGGTCTGTCTTCTTCTGCATACTTAATACAAAGGAAAAACAACAAAAAAATGTTAACTTTAATTGTTCGTTTGTTTAATTTGTTACACCTAAATAGACCTAACAGACTTAATTGTTGTTTATTAGGTGTGACGAGGGATGGGTTGAGTAGACATTTTTTCCACAGGCCGTCGAAGGCGTACACGACGGGGACACGGAAGCGGCGGAAGATACAGACGGAGTGCGATTTGCAGGGCGGCGAAACGCGGTGGCACAAGACCGGAAAAACCCGGCCGGTGATGGTCAACGGGAAGCAGAAAGGGTGCAAGAAGATACTGGTTCTGTACACAAATTTCGGGAAGAACCGGAAACCCGAGAAGACCAATTGGGTGATGCACCAGTACCATTTGGGGCAGCACGAGGAGGAGAAAGAAGGGGAGCTCGTTGTCTCTAAGATCTTTTATCAAACACAACCCAGGCAGTGTAACTGGTCCTCCGCCGCCGCCGTGGCGGCGGAGAGGAGCATTACTTCCGGCGGCGATGACCCGGCTAGTAAAAGGGACAGCGGCGGGAGCGGGAGCTGCTCTTCTTCGAAGGATAATATGAACATTCATTCCCATGGAGATGAACTTTCTGTGGCGGTTGGTGCCGCCATGTCTAGTTATAGTGCCATGGAGATTCAACAGCTCAAAGCTACCGCCGACCATTTTAGCTTCCTCCCTTTCCGGAAAAACTTTGATGAGGTAATTAAATTGTTAATTAATTCATTAATGTTTTATTTAATCTCTCTACTTCAGTTCACTGTTTGCATGCAAATTAAACATCCTTGTATCCGACGCTACATTATATATACAACGTTAATTAATTAAGTTCGACAATCTCCATCGTTAATCACATGCATGTCTCTTTCCTTAAGTATCATCACCTTCACATTGCTTAAGCATGCAGCATGAAAGTTATGCTACACTTATCTTTGATAACAACAACAATATTGTATTCTTTTGGTAATCCCAGTCAAGTTGATCAGACTTTTGACTCAGTAATCACGACCTATTGGTCTTTTTGATTTGAATATATCCATCTATGAACAATCTATGTTGGTTTGGGTTTCTGGATTAACTCGAAAATGAAAATAATGTTTTTTTGTCTTTTTTATTATTATTAAAAAAAAAAAAGAATTAATTGTTTTAAGGATTTATTATTATTATTGTGCAGGCGGGGATTGCAGTGGGGGCGGAAGCTTCAATGGGGAGGGAAGTTCCGGCGACAGGCACGTGCGAAGGGCGTGACATCGCCGCCGATCCCCACCGTGCGCATCACGTGACGACACACGACCCCCACCACCACCACCATCACCAACTGGCGGCGGCATTCCACAACATAAGCAGGCCGTCACACACCATCTCCGCCATCATCTCTCCGCCGCCGCCGCTCCACCACCACCACGCCTCCGTCATCCTCGACGACGACCCCTTCCACGTCCCCAGAATCATACTCCCCGGCGATAACTTCCAGGTAAACTATAACCCAAGAAACCAAAAACCCAAACAAAGTAAAACAAATTAAAGAATTCCCAGTACTATAATGCGAGCCAGGAACCTAGGAAACAAGTAATAATTCCATGCTTTTACCCATCTAGGGTTTTTAAATTTATTTATGTTTTTTCTCTTGTTGGAGACAGTGCATGATCATATGCATGATTATGTTTGGTCTGTTCTAAGCAACACAAAAAATGAATGTTTTTTGCAGCAATCCCAGCAACAACAACAACAACATCATAAACTGGGAGGAAGGTCTACTTCTGAATTGGAAGAACTCATAATGGGGTGCACTACTACTTCCAGTGACATCAAAGAAGTAAGCCTATCTACTTTAATCTTCTTTAATTTCTTTTCTTTTAATTTTAATTCCCCCATTATTTTTTTTCTTATTTTTCTTTAATTTCTTTTGCATTATTAATACCACCAAGCTAGCTACTAGTATAAAAGTTAATAAGGATGAGAACTTAAAGACAAGAAAGATATCATATCATATGCTTATTCCTTTACATATATGCCCATTATTATAACACAGCTAAAGGGGGATGGAGGAGAGCGGGGGGGCATAGCAGACTTTTTCTTTTCCTCTTTATCTCTTTATTCTTTCCTATTTTATGCTCTCAGCTTCTAACTCTCTTCAATTAACTCATCTCTGGGAGGTTTGGTTTATCGTTGGGCTACTTAACTTATGCACATAAGTATACAATTTGATGCTGAGTCTTAAAGTTAAATGAACGGACTTAGGGTATGTCGTTAATGGGGTTCAATATATAGTTCGGCAAAGTTGAAAAATCTGAGTTAATAATAATAATAAACTCATGTCCTCCATCTCCATTAGGTAAACCTTTGAAATTTTGAAAAGAAAATATCACCTAACTACCACCATTTTTATTTAAACCACGTAGTTGAATTTTATGAGTTAAAATAATATACATTATGAGTTAGAATAATGTACTTTATGTATTAGAATAATGTACATTATGTGTTATAATAATATACTTTATGTGTTAAAATAATGTACATTATACTTTAGAATAATGTACATTATACTTTAAAATAATATACATTATGAGTTATAAAAATATATGTTGTAGTGGGTTACGTAAATAAAAAAAATTACGCCAAACAATAGTCCACGCAATAACTGTTGATAACACAGTATGTAGTAAGTTAGATTCATGGGCTTTACTTGTAAAGAATATATATTATACAAGGAAAGAACAGACAACATAGTTCTTCTTAGATTTTCCATTTCCTCGTCGCTTAGCTTTCTTGTAATTCCATCCCTTTTCCTTCCATTAAACTATACATAAGTTGTCACTTGTCACTTCATTACAAGTCATCTTTATCAAGGTGAAAAATGAGATAACATAGTTAATACAAACCCAAATTCTAAGTTAGAGGGATTTGACTCAAATTAAATCTTGTGTATATTTTAGCTTGGATTTTTATCGGTAACTGATATGGATGCATCAACATATACAGTGTGACATAGGCAAGACCAAACCCTTTTACTTTTTCTTTTTTTTAGATGATGGTAGAAACCCGCAATTATTGTCCGAAAATGTGCACTAGATAAAATCCACCTTTTGATCCTAGTCAACAAGAAAGTAAACTAACCTAAGTTGTCCTAGTTGATCGGTTCAAATAAAAAAGGTCAATAGAATTGGACCTTCCTCTCATTGGATAGAAGTCGAACTTGTAACTACTGCGTATAAATCAAGTTCCATTGTTACATAAAGGATATCGAAACTCATCACCCTCTTCCTAGTACTCTTGGCCTGGCAACTATGGAGAAGCTAGCAGAAACTGCATGGGAATGGCATGAGCATTTATGTAGCATATCATCAGAACATACATTTTAGGATTTTGTTCCTTAAAAACTTGATGGGATGGGAGTAAGTGTTATTGGGATCTGTCGGTCTGATATGTCCCAAATGTGAAACCACAGGCCGTGAAATGTGGAATGTGTACAGGGAGAGAGAGAGAGGCTTACGTACGGCTTCAATTCTTTCAGCTTTTGATAACCGAAAGAAGAATTGGGGGACGAAAAATGAATCAAAGCAGTGAAGTTTCAAAAGCTGCTTTCTTTTATTTTGAAACCCTTAGCTTTGCATGCAATAAAACAAAACAAAAAAAATGGCATAGCTAAATCAGTTAATTAGTTACTCGAATAACAAGGAGAAAACATTATTTGTCTTTTCTTGCACTTTTGTTGTCTCTTCACTCCACCTAAGAACAGATCAAAAACATGGGTGTTTCCTCGGCACTACTTAGAATGTACACCGGATAAACCCTGTCTTGTCTTGTGATCTTAACCGTCAAATAACTTTGGGTTTGGTGCATGGTTGCAGGGCTCATCAATGGCGGCTAACCAACAAGAAACAGAATGGCTGAAGTACACACCCTTCTGGCCAGATCCTGACAACCCGGATCATCATGGGTAGAAGCAAAAAAACAAAAAAAGAAGAAGAAAATTAAAGAAAAAAAGAAACCATCATCATCATCATCGGATCCCACAGAGACATGCAAGGTCATTTTCACCATCATTATAGTACTTCTCAAACACACATATATACACCCAAGCCAAGGGACCAACAACATAGTTCCTTGTTCCTTTTTCCCTTGTTCTTGAACTCTTCCCTAGGCTTCAACTGAACTAACTGTTCAACAACCCAGGTTGGAAAAATCAAGAAAAAGTAAAACAGAAAAAAGAAAAAGCAAAAAAAGAAAAAAAAAGAAAGCCCTAGAAAGGCTGCTCTCTTCTGACAGAAACCAATGTGGGGGACTACTAAAGACCCAAAGAAGAAGAAGAGGAGAAGAAGAAGAAGAAGAAGAAGCGAATCCTATATTGCATCAAAATCATAACCATTATGATTACACTATCATCTTTATATATGCCTACTAGCTAAGCTATAACTATATATTCTTCTTATTTATTTCTTCTTTATTTTTGTTTTTTTTTTTCCTTACATATTTGTATAATTTTTTTCTGTTAACACCACAGGATTTCTGCAAAGTGCATAGGAAACTTTGTTTTGTCGAATCTTACGTACGTGGACAGTCTTTTTTTTTTTTAGTAGAGATAGAATACTTGTTGGGATATATATAGAGAATATATATATATATATTTCCTTTTTACAGAAATGAAATGTAATGCTGATTTATAATATCGCATTGATTATATTGATGCCTTACTTTCACACTACTTTTTTTTTTTTTTTTTTTTTTTTTTTTTATAGAGTTGATGGAGATTACTATCTTCTTTTAATTTGTTCTTCTGATTGTGAAGGCTTTGCTTTAATTGGCCTTCCTTTATAGCTTTCCAGCATTAAAGCATCACTGTTTTGAACAATGTACGTTTGTGTGGCATAACATATTGTGGTTTTTCATTTCACTATTTCTTTTATAATTCAAATTGAAATTTATTTCAAAGGTAATTGTTGTAGCTCTAGCTTAGTAGCCACGTTTCCACTCAACAATCCCCTCCAAACACCTGTTTTGATACAATCAAGCGCTTACACTACATCAAAAGTTATGGTTAGTAGCGAAGACACAACTTTATTTCATTATATATAGTTGTGTAACACTCAATGCCACGTTTTAATAGTAGGGTATTGGACTAATTTAAGGCTCTGCATGCAGGCCCGGATTTTGGGCTGTGCAAGCTGGGCTACCGCACAGGGCCCCAAATTTTAGAGGGGCTCAAATTTTAGAAGCTCAATATTTTATTTTTACCTAGTTAGTTTAGAAATAAAAATTAAAATTTTTTAATTAAACTTAAAAGGCTTTATAAAGAAATGGTAAGAACATGTATTTATTGTATTTTAACTTTGAGGTCTAAGGTTCAAAACTTGTGCACACTATTATTATTATTCCATTCCATAATATGTCTATTTTTACTTGTGCGTTGCACGGAAAAGATTTGTTATAATCTTTAAATTATAACAATGAATATTATATAGTGCAATTGATGAAATGAGTTGTATCGATTATGTTTTTTTATGTTATCCTTGCTTGAATTCAAACAAATAATTGCCCAATTATCCGTGCAGTGTGCGTGCGATGCACGGATAATTTTTTTTTTTGTTATATATTTAGATAATAAAATTACGGTATTAGTTTTATAGATTTTAATTTTGGTAGGGCCTTATTTATTTACCCGAACAGGGCCACAAAAATCTAAAAACCGGCCCTGTCTGCATGCGAGCCTCTGCCCAACAATTGTTATACCGCAATGGGTTGGGGCAGGTCATATGGTTATAACATTTCAACACCTACTTTTTAAAGAATCACGAACCCACTTGAGAATCACAAGTACAATCTTTTATTTAGATTCTCAAATAGCATCTTCTCGAGACTTAGCCATCTTTCCCAATATATATCTCACGTACACTTGTCTTTTGGTGTATAATTAACATTTCAAAGTTATTAGAAAATTAATGCCCCATAGATAGATGTTACTATTTTAGTTTGATCAATCATACGACTATATCATATATCATTCACTATAAAACTAATTAGACGCGGAATCATGAAATCTTTAATAATATACACACATCTTGTCCATATATGTTGGAAAATGGGAATTGCATATTGAAAATGTAGCTATTTTTGTAGCTAGACTATAAGATATGCAATGAAAACCAATAATAGCCCATTTTAGGAAACATAGAATCTTGATAAATTATTAGCAGCATGCGGAGCTAGCTAGAAGCAACACAATTCACATTATAAGTGCAATCTAATCCCTTTCCTTTACTTGTAAGTAAGTGATCTTTCTTACTTTATTCTATACCAGATGCGACACCTTTTCCTTCTGCATAAATTTATACAGTAATTATATTATATTTAACAATATATGTATGAGAGAGAGAAGAGAGAGAGAGAGAGAGAGAGAGAGTAACGTGCAGTGCATGGAACTTTATTATGTTTATCTGTCTTTACATATACTGGAGTTTCATGTAATAAAGGTAATTATAGATGAGGTAGTGAAAGGCAGCTCTGCTGCAATGGCAGCTTCATTGTAGTTTCTGAATGAAGGGAATGGAATAAAGGTTCGAATAAGGAATTAAAAGGACAACAGACACCTTTATTACCACTTAACATATAAATATATATTGGTGCTTTGTTTTTTTTTTTTTTTTTTAATATTTGACAGTCACTATAAATTTAAACTAAGAATTGAATCTCTCGTTAATATTATATAATTAAGATAGTATATCTTCTCAATACATATTGTTAAATTTAATTAGAGAGTCAAATCCAGTATCCTGTCATATAAATATGACACCAGTTGTTACATAAGTATAAGGAAATAAAGTTTACCTTGTTACTAATTATAATTTTTAACGTAGTGACGCGCTTCATCCAATTTTTAAGCATGTTGTGTAGTTGAGACTAGCAGATGTTGGAGAGAAGATTTTTGGACAGAGCACCCATTATTAATTCATCATTTCCTAATGTGGCACTATATATGTGATTAGATTACTCTACATCAATTTTCAAAAAAAAAAAGATTACTCTACATCATTTATTTATTTATTTTAGTTTTATTTATTTCATTATCCAAATAAATACACTACTATATATGAGCATGACCAAATTAACATTAAAGATACTAAAAGTACTGGAAAAATAAAAATCAAAACTGCAATTTTAAGCCAAGATCTGAATATGTGATTCTTTCTGCTATAGGAGAGATTAAAAATAAAGTGTGTTTAATACACTTGTTTCTTATATTTATACAGAAGGAATACAAATGATATATATGATATGATGCAGTCATGATCCTTTGGGATCATCACCTAACTCGCCACCGCCTTGGTATATATAGTATATACTATATATATACATAAGGACATTGAATTATATTGAAGTATATGTAAGTATATACACATTATAAAATAATAATAATAATAATAATAATAATAATAATAATAATAATAATAATAATAATAATAATAATAATAATAATAAATAATATGGATTTTATTTTATTAATTCATAGAAGAGTTGGAAAATCCATCACTTGTTTTTAAGCAATATGAGACCCCAAAGTGTGGATCAACTCGTTTACCACTATATCAATGTTGCACTAATACTAATTATTAAGATGCAATGCTTATGAGTGCGCTAAAAACTATAACTAATAGCGAAAGTTTAATTCCATTTTATTATACTTGCAGATCGGAGTAATCAATTCAACGTCACATTTTGATGGCAAGATATTGGACTCGACCCTCCAAGCCTCCGCCCAAACAAGGGTAAGGAGTTCAAACCTAGTAGCTTGGAACATTTAATACAACTATAAGATTAAAGGTTCAGTTCTTGTGAAGGGTGCACCACAAACTTTGCATGTGTGACCTAATTTGAATCCGAATTAATCTCATAGTGCGTGCTTGAATCGCCCCGATATTTGCTACAAATTAAAACTGTTCATTGTATCAAGAAAAAAGTATTAGGCACCAAAGTTAATATTATTTCTTCATATATTTATATTTGGTATATATATATAAAAATGAAAGAAAGGGAAGTCCAAGTTGGAAGTATGGAGAGGCTGGGAAGTGTCTGTTTCCACATGCAATGAAGGGGCAGGTCCTGTCCTGTCCTGTTCAACCTAAAAAGTTGGTATTCAATTCTTTCACTTTATGCAAGATTTTGGGTGCTTTTGAAAGGTGGAATATGTCTCTTCTCTATTGGATTATTCCCACAACCAACCACACTATACCATATATATATATATAAAGATTATTACTCATGAATTGAACTATCATCAATTTTTAGCAGCACAGTATATATGTATGTAGTGTACAGATTCAATCCCATCCTCATGGAATAGAAGGTGCATTTGGTAGTGCATTGAGGAATAATCTTTTCTCTCTCTCTCTCTCTATCTCTCTGGTGATTTTAATTTAATTTTTATATATATGGGTAGATTATGTTTCAGAATGGGGTTTAGCAACTTTTTTGGATTCTTGAAACAAGCTAAGGGAGGGCAGGCTTGCTTGCTTTAGTTGCTTTTTAGTGTGTTGGAAGACCACATTTCTATGTTTCATTTCCTAATTAATTACCTTAACTTTAATCTATCCTGTCATCTATCACTACCTCCAATAACAAAGGTGGATTTTGGAGGTATTTGTTTTAATTATTCTTTGGGTTCATTCTATAATCTTTATGCCACCTGGGGCATGCATCTTTGCAAACCCTAACACTAATGGCAGGCAGACCTTATTAAGAAAACACTTCTAAGGGTTTTTTCTTGATTTTTAAAATGAAAAACTGTACGTGTAAGTAAACATGCACTCTTGTTATCTATTCTTCAGTTTTTTAGTTTTATATCTAAAAAGTTGAAAATTTGCTGTGGTTAGTCAATTGGATTGAAATTGAGCTTCTATTTACATTAATTGGATTGAAATTAAGCTTCTATTATGATGATGGATTCCTTTTGACATAACACTTCATTCACAAAGTATGAACTTGGAAGCTGTTGGTATTTGACGGATGGATTTTAAATGAATAGGACATATTAGATATCCTAAGATATAATTTCAAAAAAAAAAAAAAAAAAAAAAAAGATATCCTAAGATATTATGTATAGTTATACATGTATTAGATGAACTATGACAAGGGATTGTTTCAATCGCAAAAATTTCACTTGAAAGAGTAAAAATCTAATGAATGTGCATGGTACATTTAAAGTAATTCTATTGACCACTCTGATCGGCAAATTATTGTGTGGAGCATGGTCCACATAGCTGTGTGGATCACGGTTCAAAACGACGTCATTGAATATTATGAGTTAGAATAATGTACTTTATGTGTTAGAATTATTAAACTTCTATGATAAGATAATGCACTTTGTGAATTAGAATAACATACATTATGCATTAAAATAATGTATATAATGCTTTAGAATAATATACATTATGAGTTATACAAATGTATGTTACAATGTGTCGTGTGAAAAAAAAAAAATACACAAAACGACGTCATTTTTTGGACTGTGATCCACACAACTATGTAAACCACCACCCTCGCATCTTATTACTACTGAATTAATAGCTTTAATCTCACTATTACTCCAAACCCAATATAATGTGTATTATTATATTTTATCTTCTCTTTAATAAAGTATAAAGCTATCTTCAATCTGATTGGGGACTTTCTCCAGGATACATGACTAACATGGCCGGGTTCCCATGCTTATTTGGGTTGAAAATGGCCCATTTTATCTAATAGCATTTGCATGGATAGTTATGCTGTGCATCCGCATGCACCATGTATGGTGCATACGGATGCAAAAACGACGTCGTTTTATTAAAAACGCGCGTCTCCCCTTAAAAAAAAAAAATTCAGGTTCGATTCTCAGCAACAGCATTATGTTGTTCATTCATTCTGGAATTATAGTTCATAGATTATGGAATTTTAGTTCATTGATTCTGGAATTATAGTTCATCGATTCTGGAATTGTAGTTCATCGATTCTGAAATTTTAGTTCATAGATTTTGGAATTTTAGTTCATTCATTCTGGAATTTTTAGTTCATAGATTAGATTCTGGAATTTTAGTTCATAGATTCTGGAATTATAGTTCATCGATTATGGAATTTTAATTCATATGTTGTTGCTGAGAATCGAACCTAAATTTTTTTTTTAAGGGAAGATGCGCGTTTTTAATAAAACGGCGTCGTTTTTGCATCCGTATGCACCATGCATGGTGCATACGGATGCACAGCATAATTTGCCAAGAAAGCCAAACACACTGTAAGGCCCGCAAATATACAATTGGGCTAGGCCCTCAAATACTTCTGCTTTAGTATTAGACCCATAACCTTGTGTTCCAATTGTTATGCCATGGACCCGAGTCCACCAGACAAGGTGGACCCAAGTCCAAAATGATGCAGCTTTACGTGTATGGAATAACAGTGTCATTAGTGACACCGCTTTTTCAGTCAATGATATGTTATTTTGTGAATATAGAGTTTAAAAATTGTGAATATAGATTTAAAAATTGTGTTATACTGTTGAAGATAGAGTTCTGTAAGTGTGAATATAGAATTATGAAATTGTGAATATAGAGTTCTGTAATTGCGAATATAGAGTTTAAAAATTGAGAATATAAAGTTCTGCAATTGTGAATATTGAGTTCTGTAATTTTGTATATTGAGATCTAAAATTGTGAATAGTCAGTTCTAAATTGTGAATATAGAGTTTTAAAATTGTGAATATAGAGTTCAAAAATTATGAATATAAAGTTCAAAAATTGTGAATATAGAAAAACGAATTCTGGAAACAAACGGCAAGTTAAAGGAAGGAAGTAATTTTTTTCTTTTTTTTTAAATTCAGATGACGTCGTTTTGAACTCGGGTCCACGTCATAATTTTCCCTTGTGGTAAGAAGTCAGAACCATTACCGGCCCCAAAGATTTAGCAATTGTTATACCATTTGGCATTTACCAATATTCATTTTGTATTGTGGACCTTAGGGGCAAATTTTTCTATGAACCATGGTCCATAGAAGCGTGGACCATGAATATAAAATACATTTTAATATACTAAAAGTACATTATTTGTGTATTGAATGTACATTATTTGATAATATACAAAATAATATACTTTCAATACTCAAATAATATACTTTTAGTATATTAAAAATGAACTTTTTAATTATAGTCCACAGAGCTGTGTGGATCATGGTCCATGGAATAATGAATTGACCTTAAGGCAATCACATAAGTGATTTTTTGTAGAAAAGAAAAGGAAAAAATTATGGTGGGTTTTTAACAAATGGCCGGAGGGGTGGGATTTTTAGTGGTTTTTACTCTTGCAAATAAAAAAAAAATTGTAGGGTCCACTAAATGGGGAAAGAAGAGAAAGCACCCGCGCCACTCTCGTGTGTGGGAAACTCAACGCCCAGTTGGGCGCGTAAAGAAACTATTTCTTTTTCTCTTTTTTTGTCAAAATTTGTTTTTTTTTTCTCTCTCTTTTTTCTTCTTCTCTCTTCCCTCCTCTCTCCTCTCTCCTACATGGACTTGAAAAAATTAACAAAAAATGCACATGAATAAGGTTGCTCTTAGTCCAAAATGCATTCAGATTATGTACATGTAATTAACATATTATATATATTCAGTTAATAAATTATATGCATATTACAATTAATATTTTATATACCTGTAGTTAATAAATTATATACTCCGTACCTATTACAACTACGTATTATGTACCTTCAATTAATTCATTATGCAGATACATAATCTAGATGTCAATTTTAGATTTAGGTTCATAATGTAAGGTGGACCATGGTCCATGGTATAATTTACCAAGATTTAGTACAAAGAATCTTGGCTGTCTTAAATTTGACATATTTCGTATGGTTTCACGGTCGGGAACATCTTCATGTTACAAAATGACCACTGCAAAAACATTAAAAAATTCCTGTAATAATCTCAATAGATCTGGAAAACTCATCTCTGTAATACTTAGACACTAATAGCCTGTGACTTAAGCGAAAAGAACGAGTATCATAAATGTTCTTCGTCGAGAATTATGATACTTAATTAGACAATGTTCAAATTTTCGAATATTGTCTTCCCCAAATTTAATTTCTGCTTCTTCTTTTTTTTTTTTTTTTGGTCTGAAAATGAGAGTTTGAATATGTTACAGTATTTATAGGGTTTGTGGCACAGTGACAGAATGTATTGGTTGTGTTTGATTAATCCATTACCAACCACCGAATTGGCATTAAAAGCTGCAAAAAATCCCAAGAAAGAAAAAAAAAAAAAAATCCATTTAGGTGTTAACAGGTTTCAGTCATTTCACTGCATGAACAGTTGAATATGTATGAATAATTAATGTATGCAAAATGAAGAAAATTTGTGTATATGTAGGCCAGAAGATGTCCAACAATGCAAACCCCACACCCTGTTTTATCATCAATGCTTCAACTTTTTTTTTTTTTTTTTTGAAATATTTTCCCGATTATGCCAAACTAATTTTAAATCGTGAAACATTTCCAAAAGTTATTGAAGGAATTAAATCGTGAATCGCTCCGTTAGCGCTAGGTTCACACCTCTTGCGTGTACATTTTGCGCATAAATGATCTTTATCACCTTATTTTCAGTGAGATTCGAATACTCACACTACTGTTAGAGTAAGGCTTTAAGATGATCGGTCGAACTGACTAAATAGCGTGGGCTATTGCAACCATATTTACACAACCATACAAGAAACTCCATCATATTCATGTATGCATCTTTCACTATTCATCTCAAAATGGGAAAGGCCTGGATTCTGGCTGCAGCTCTCCTCCAAGCCATTGCCATTGAAGCTGCCGTGAGTGTTGGTGGTGGTGGTGGTGGTTTTGGTGTTGGAGTGGGAGTTGGAATAGGTGGTGGGGGTGGGGGTGGGGGGGTGTGGATTGGGGGTGGAGGGGTTGGTAGTCCAAGCCCATCTGGGAGTGGTGGCTCAGAATCAAAGCTCCAGAAAGCTTACACTGCTCTCCAAGCATGGAAATCTGCAATCTCAAATGACCCATTGGGGATTTTGAGCTCCTGGGTTGGCTCAAATGTGTGCAACTACAAAGGGGTTTTCTGCTCATCATCTTCTCAAGAAGAAGAGGCAGTTGTGGCAGGTATAGATCTCAACCATGCAAATCTTCAAGGCATTCTTGTAAAGGAGCTGTCTTTGTTAACAGACCTCTCTCTTCTCCACCTCAACACCAATAGGTTTTCAGGGACAATCCCAGAAACCTTGAGAGACCTCACATCACTCACTGAGCTTGACCTCAGTAACAACCAATTCTCAGGTCCTTTTCCCACAACTGTTCTTTTCATCCCAAATCTCCTCTACTTAGACCTCAGATTCAATGCCTTCTCTGGGCCCATCCCTAATGACCTCTTCAACAAGAACCTTGATGCAATTTTCCTCAACAACAATCAGTTCAGTGGGGAATTGCCTCAGAATCTGGGGAATTCTCCAGCTTCTGTAATAAATCTGGCTAACAACAAGCTCTCTGGGGAGATCCCCTTCAGTTTGGGGTACATGGGTTCAAGAGCCAAGGAAATCTTGTTCCTCAATAACCAGCTAACAGGCTGCATCCCTGAAGGGATTGGGATGTGGGCAGATTTGCAGGTTCTTGATGTGAGCCACAATTCTTTGATGGGTCATTTGCCTGACTCCATTTCTTGCTTGGGTGACATTGAAGTCCTCAACTTGGCACACAACAAGCTCACTGGGGAATTAGCAGACCTGGTTTGCTCACTCAGGAGTCTCGTGAATTTGACATTGGCTTACAATTTCTTCTCCGGGTTGAGCCAAGAATGCAACCACCTCTCTTTAAGGAATGTGGGGTTTGATTTCTCCCTCAACTGCATTCCGGGAAAGCAGATGCAAAGGCCCCAACCAGATTGCTCTATCGTCCCAGGTGGTAGCCTCAGTTGTCTTAGAATTCCTGCAGTTAAGCCTATTGTTTGTGGAACATTGCTTGGTGATCAGGAGACTAGTAATCAAAGCCCTCCTTCTCATTGATTTGGGTCAAGGAGAAAGGTGGAAAATTCTACTGTTAGACTCGCAGTTTCAAGACAATTGAGATTGTTCAACCTAAATTCAGGTTAGTTTAACCTTAGAATTTTCTTGTTGTAATACAGGTTAGTACTGGCTAACTCTCATTGCAACTTGGAGAGTTGTTATACCTTGAGCATTGTAGCATTCTTGGCCTATTTCTTCAAGACTAATGCATATAGATATGTAAGTTTATGATCTGTCAAACATGCCAAAACAGAATGCCAACATCTACCTTGTACCTTGTATGGTTGAAATGCTTTAACTAAATCTCTAGTTGGCAGAGGATAACTACCATTTCATTGCTAGTATGAAGGCTAAACTTGCCCGAATTACAACTTAACTAGCCAGTCGATCCAAAATAAGGTTAATATATTTCTTTATTGGCAACTGCATCCTTCTGAGTGGTTCAAATTTTTCTGGTAACCACTGAGTGGTATGAAGGGGGAACTTGTCCGAGTCACTACTTAGCTGGTCAGTCAATTCAAAATAAGGTTAAAAGTTTTTTCAATAGTCACTGAGTGATATGAATTTGCCTCGTTGTGAGCATAACAAACACTTTGGAGAACCTCCTAGTGGGTGAAAACTGAAATGCATGAATCATTATAACCCATTTTGTTTTTATTCACCCAAATCATTTTTAATGAACTTTTTTGTTATTGTGGGTCGAATATCATGAGCCCCATGACAACAATTTCACATGTGAGAAAAGATGATTGATTTTGGAATGTCATTTTTCCCATTTTGACATCACATGGATCCATGCTGGGACAAAAAAAAATTGGCCCAACATGTGACTGGCAATTGTTGGAAATGACCATTGATTAGTCCTCTTGTCCACCACTCCACTAGCAGGTCATTTTCAGGTTATAGTAACTGAGAAAAGAGTTCAGCTGCTTCATGTGAGGACTTCCCTATGGTGTTGTGAAAAGCACCTTTTTTGCCACATGAATCAACTACAAACATATCACTATAAGTCAGGTAGATCAGAAATGGATAAATTTCAGAGATTTCTTGAAAGTAAATTCAGATCAGCATATCTGATCTCATCAAGTAAATCCAGACTGTCACAAGGAAAACATGTATCCAGGTGTAAGAGTAATCTCAACAGAAGAGGCCTGGCTTGAGAAAACAGTTTAAAATGGTTGTACAACAATGGGATTACTCCCTCTCTCCCAAATTCATTACATACTGTAAAATATAATACAAATTTTAATGAAAAGTACACATTTTTACTCCTTTTGCCCATGAATGATGACATGAATAAAAATTGTGTTTATTTTAGGATAGTAGACAACAATTTTTTTGGTCAGGCCATGAGGTGTCCTGAGCATGCCCTAATGTAGGAGGCACCTTTAAGCTCGTACCATACTCAGACTAATCCACATTCGCACAGGGCCGGCCCAATTAAGGGGCAAAGTGCTGGCCATATTGGTTTTTCCATAGTAGACAACAATTTGGGATGTACTAAAAAGGAAATGTTGAAAGCCTTTTTGGTTATAGGAAGTATAAAAGTTGGAGAATTGTCATCAGGCAATGTAGTACATGGGATTGGGGAGTTTAAAAGACCTTTCGGCTACTGCAAATCCCACCAAGTCACTCCACTGATCTCCAGAGCATCCATGGATCCTGTAGCCTTCATCCTCTAATTCCTTTCTCTTCTGGGATTTGTAGACAGTGGCCAATGTCCCTTGATCAGAGGGCCCCCTGTTTCATAACAACATTGTATAATCAATCATCAAATTATTTGGTCAAGCATTTTTTTTTTCTAAAATGTTTGATATGATGTACAAATTTTGGTTTTTGATAGGGGTGTGTGTGTTTCCTAATTCCCAGTACCTCAAAATTAGCCTTTCCCAATTGCTATATCCAGCATATTGCAGATTCTTTTCTGTACTTTCCCTTTGATATTCACTCCGACCTGTCAGCAAGAAAATTGTAAACCCTTGCTTCCGTAGCTCCTTGTACAATCTTAAACTTGCAGGTATGGCAGGGGCTTCAGCCAAATCCACCCATTCATCAAAGGAACTTTCATCAAAGATATCTGCCCTGCATCCAAAAGAGTAGCTTATAACCAACACAGGTATAGCTGAGAAGGATTAAAAGCACTTGCCATTACAAAGCTTTAGATGCCAAAAAAGTCAAAAGTTTTTAGCAAGAACACAAATAAACAAAGCTCTTAAATACCCTATATTCTTCTTATTTATCCAGAATCAAAGAAAAATAAATATCTACTCAATCATTAATTCATTATTATTATACAATAACAGCACAAAGATATATAGAAAGCAGGCAGGCAAAATTTCAAGCCCCTTGTACACACTAAAAGCATTTGAAGTTGTGTGACTGTTTATCAAGGTAATCATCAATAGGCTCCAAATCTAACTATTCCCCCATCACACTCTCAAAATGAAGACTAAGGCTTATTATACAATACACAATAAAACAAATTATTCATCTAGAAAAATGACACATTTAGTCCCTTTTGTGTAGATTTAGTCTATACTCTATAGGTTTTTAATGAAGTATGGATTTGGTTCTGACATTAGGGTAGGGACCAAATCTGCCATTTTGCTATTAATCTAGGGATTAAATCAACACTACAATCACAATTGAGAGACTAAAAGTGCTAAGAGTTTAGAATGACTTTATGAAAGTAACTAAGAGTGTAGAATGGCTTTTGTTATTACAAGGCAGGACTCACTAACTTTTCAAAGTGAGTTTGTCATAAATGATATTTTAACATTTTATTGTTCACATAATGTTTATGCAACCTTGGAACTCAATATGAATGAGATTAACATATTATTCTTCCAAACATTGGTGGGCAGAGACACCGACAAAAACAAAAATTAGCATGCCAGACCTGTTAATGAAATCCATTTTCAGAATAAAGTTCTTTTTCACTAATTGCACCATGATTATTGGGATTCTAGTGTTTGGTTTAAAATAACGGGCATATGTGGATTTTAACTTGTAATATTGCAAGTGGTTCAGTTTTAAATATAATGAATTAAATTGCAGTCTTAGATTCAATTAACTAGGCAGAGTGTTTTTTCTTGAGTGACTTTGTATACACCATAGGCTACATAATAAGATTGATCCACAGTAATAAAGAGCTCATGCTATGAATCACAACCATTTATAAAGCTGAAATCAAGAGCAATAATACAAGCATTGGAAAATTGCATTTTTTGTCTTTCCCTAAAGTTTTTATGGTTTTTTTTCCAGAGAAAATTCATAGGTTGAAGAACAAAATAAGAAATGTCATACTCATACACTCATACAATCTTTCAGGATGAATATGAATTCAGCATAATTTATATGTTTCAATTTTTCAACATTCAAAGAATTTAGTGAAATTATGTACTTTCTTCTCAGAAAAATTAGATTTTATTCTTTCATACTGATATGAAATTATACTCCTCATTTTTTTACTAAACGACGAAATATACCATATCCTAATACCCAAGATAAAAGCTCACTCACCCGAATCCATGAGCATCGTAGTAGGGAACGTTCGACAGCAACGTCTCATCAATGTCGAAGACCCAAGCATCCTTCCCATCGCCGGCGACACTCACTGTCTTCGCGAACGCCAGAGAAGCGTTTGCAACGGCATCGGAATCCGAGCGGTACCTGTCGCCCGTCATGTAATCCTGTACAAATACCCGACATCTCTCCGGGATCACAATCCAGCTGGGAGCGTCATTGGTCTCGACGGTGAACTTCCAGCTATCGCAGTACAAATCATCATCTTTCGGAATTTTCCGGTGACGGACTATCCGATCGATGGCGAAGAGGTCGCCGAGTTCCGCCGTGAAGGGGAAAACTGATTGGGCGGCAGATGTGGAAATCAATGGGAGGAAGATGAAGAACGTTGTAACGACGACGTTTCGAGCCAAAGCCATGCCTGATTGTTCAGTGTGTGGCGTCGTGAGTCCTCTGCAGGAGTGAAACTTAAAACAGACATATATGTCATCATATACGTCATCATTTATATTATAAATGAATATTTATTCTTCTTCCCAAATGAATATTTATATCATTACTATATCTAGTTGTATATTATAAATGAATATTTATATTCTTACTATATCTGATTGTATCATTACTATGTGGTTCTAATGGTATTCGGGTTAAACTTCCATTTAGAAAGTTACGAGTTCGAGCCTCAGTGGTTCATTCAAAAAAAAAAAAATATGAGAGGGAATACAAGTTGGGAGTTTAAAATGAAAGTACACCAAATATTTTCTCAATTATGACAATTAGATTGAATAAAAATACCACAACCTAATAACATCCATCCTATAGAAGAGAGTGTCTTTGTAATTAGTATTTCATTTCGGGTGTTCCTCGTCTCGATAATTAATTGAACAAAAAAAATGAACCAAATCGAATGACCACTATTGGATCAAATATAGAATATGATAAATTAATAAATTTTGACAAACAAATTGCTCACTGTTTAATTTGTCTGTACAATATCAATCTGTAACACACAAACTGTTACAAACTTCATATTTATGGTACATTGAAGCTAAGCCCAAAAAAAAATTTTAAAAAATTCACTCATCAGATCAATACAGGTCACACTCGTTCACACGAACTTAGCTCAATAGTTCAGTAGACAGTATTTAGAAGAAGAAATAATATTTCTCAAAGTAGACAGATCTCTTGTGCGCACAAACATAACTTCCCTAAGGATAATATAATGTCAAGAATGGGTTCTCTTGGGTCGATTGGTTAACCAATTAAAAAAAAAAATTTGTATTGTGCATCTTCATGCTCAGACCAATGGCCAAAAATATTTTTTTTGAAGATGATGAATAAAGGTTTAAGAGAAAGAGTAGTGATGGTCATGATCATGGCAAAGCTCCTTCCTGAGTTTCTGGGAGAAAAGCTTGCAAGCATCCATGCTAAGATCAATGGCGGCTGAAACCGCAACAAAGAGAGCCGCATCCGGCATGCAGGTCACGTGTTTCACCCCAACCTGAACCCAAGGGCACCCATTTTTCCCTTCACCTTCAACGCTCGAGCTCATCACAAATCCCCGAATCGCCGGCGACTGTTTCCTCGCCGCCGCGTTGTCTATGCAGAAAACCCCGCCTTTCTTCACGTTCATGGTGCCCTCTGCAATGGGCGCTCCGTTGTTCAAACCCGAATCCGAAACCAGCTCGAATTTGTAGCCCAGCCCGTCCACCGGCCCTCTCTCCCGCCACGCTTCCAGCCGCCCCCACGGCTTCCAGCTGCTCACGGAGCCGCCGTTCGGCCGGAGGATCAGCCACGCGCCGGGATTCGATCGGGAAACGCGGTCGGATCCTGGGGAGGATGGAACGAACGGAGTTATCATTGAAGCTGCGGCGACAGATGAGCCTGAGAGATCGTAGATTATTATCATCCACCCCTTTCGATCCCTCCCAGGTTTCTCCCTGCTTTCGCCGGAAAATGTTCTCATCCACCCTCTGTTCTTTAAGGTAAATTCCGATGGCAGAGATCTGATGATGAAACATTAAAAAAAAATAAAATGTCAAAAGAATTTCTCATAATTCCTAATCCTTATATATGAGATAAAAGATAACAATTAATCACCGTGTCCGGTTGTTTCTGTCGGCGCTAAACTTGCAGCTAAAAACTGGCTGCCGGATATTCCCCTGAATCTGGAAAACCACGGGGCTGCACTCCGGTTCACCCTCGAACTGGAAAACGAACCGGGGGTCCGGTTCAGACCGGACGACCAAATGCAGGACCGGTTCGCCGCCGAGCTTGGTCCACCCGTTCTGGAACACGACGGGCCTCGACTCCGCCCCGCTGAGATCAACGCTGACCTGCACCTCCCCGAGCAGCTTCCCGGAGGTGACCCCACAGCTGCGCCCCATCCGCCCCGTGAAAACCGAGACTTTTAAGGCGACGGGCTTGCCGGAGAGGCGCTTGAGGGTGGGCGGGTCGAGGTGGAACGCGGCGGCGGAGGCGCAGGAGTCCGGCGGAGACGAGTCCTTGGTGGCGGCGGAGCAGAGCGGGAGAATGGCGGTCTGGGATGATGGGAAATTCTTTAGCTTGAGCTTGGCGTAGCATGGAGTGGTGGAGGGGTGAACTCCGGGACCGGCGGGTTTAGTGGCGGAGGGGAGCTTAACCGCCATTGACTCGATGATCAAACGTACAAATGGGCATGGATCCATCTTCTTCAAACCACAGAGAGATGGGAATGGTGAAGTGAAGTGATGGAGGTGAGGGGAAGAAGAAATGGAATCATGAATAGATAGCGGCAATGAATGAATGAAAGTGGGCTCTCATCTGCTTCAAATATTTCAGTCTTTCTTTCTTCCTCTCTGGAAAAGCTTCTTTTTCTTGTCAGGTAGTCAGACAAATTCCCTCTCGTCAATAACTATACTACTATACTCTATATATGTATATACTCTATTAAATTTGACTTCCTCTTTATTATTTTATTTTTTAATATCCAATTTCGTCATACTATATCTTAAATCTTATGAACCAGTCAGAATATATATATATCCATGATTTTTTCTTTACTATTCTATTTTCCAAAGATGGATTAGATGACATTTTACTATATATGGGATTTCATAAATTATCAACATACAAGTGAGTTATGTCACATAATTTTATATTTAGTATTTATCTTTTACTATATATGGGATTCCATAGATTATCAACATACAAGTGATTTATGTCACATTATTTTATATTTAGTAAAATTTTACCTTTAATTTTATAAAAATAAAAAGATACAGTGGGTTTGATTAGTATATAGTATTGACTTATTGTAGAAAAATATTTGGTAAATTAGATGTTAGCTGATAGCTGATTATATGCAAAATGACTTTTTTTAAAAGCTAATCCAATAAGCTACTTAGAGCAGTTTTTCAAATTTTAACTTTTTGGAGTAATAAGCTGTTACAAAAAAGCTAATTAACCACACACTTATATTGATTGTTTAATTAAGTCAAACAACTAATAGTGGTCAAACAAGTCAAAATTAGAGCTAACTATTTTACTAAATAGTGTCACATTTTTTTTTTGAAAGAAAAAAGACACATTATATTCTTAGTTTGAGGTTTTCATAAGCTATTGTACGTACTAACTAAACCCTAGAAAATATTTGCTATTTGGTATTGATCTATAAGATGACAATAATACCAGGTATAATTATATCTTATATATATTGTTGTATTGGATTTTTTTTTATATACACCAACCCATGCTAAAATTATAATATTTGGATGAATTTCAGTTTGGAATCTAAATTTGATATGTCAACTCTAATATTTTCTATAACTTACTTTTATGAATATATAATTAGTTTTTGATAGTGTGTATATATAGTATGTATTTGAAATGAGAGTTGGAAGTTGAAGAGAAGATAAATTGAGGTAGGTAGGTCTTGTTAATTGGTGGACAACCTAGTAGGACCCGAATTGAAGAAGGTCCCATAACAGCTTGGCTATGGCTGTCAATCTCTTTATCAACTTCTTCCAATACGCTCTATTTATCCCCATTCCTCTTTTTTATCTACTAGCCCTCCAACCATTTTACAACATTTGTAAAAGTGTTTTAAAAATTTACGTTTTACTACACAAGTGTTACTCGTTATAACTTATAAATGGTAGAAAATTAAATATAATCTTAACACGATGAATATGAACAGTTGGCTTGGTAACCACAAAGTTTCAAGTTCAACTTCTCGATTTAAAATGATCAGCTATAGATTAGGTAACCTAGACTTGTTAATTCTGTGTGGCTGCGAGGTACCCTCGTCACACACCTAAATCAAAATAAAATATATTTAGGTGTAAGGACAAATGTTGGTGAAAAAGATTGGAAATGCATAAGAAGTTGGTGAAAGGATGGGCAACCTCAAACAAAATCAGTTGATGTTAGGGTTGAAAAATGAAAACCCTTTCTGAAGTAAGAAAGAAAGTACACTAACCATTAATTACACAAAATTTATAACAATGGAATACTAATTAATAAAACACTTACTCTTGCCTGGAGGTTGTTGTCACCATTGTTGCCAACAACGTTGTGTGAATTGTCAATTATAATAATATATGATATGATACGATGCATGGGATAATGTTTCTCTTTTGCACTTTCATTAAAATTACATGTTTATTATATATGTATTTAGGATTATTAGGTAGGGTCGGTAAGTGGCCATGTCTAGTATCTCGAGACTGGGAGATTGTTAGGCAAAGGCGGATAAAGTCCTTGAGGGCCAAGTCCAGCACCTAGTCTGTCTCAAATAATGTGATGACAGTCTGTAAGTAAGGAAATAAGTTACATCTTTGCTACTAACTATAACTTTTGACGCGAGTGGTAAGAGCTTGATACTAATAATTGCATTTAGTACTCGGTGGCCGAACCCAGGCCCGATAAAATCCCCTTAAAGGGCAAGGCTGGGGGCTATATCTAGTACTCGATGATTAAACTCAGGCTGATTAAATCTCTGTAATGGCCAAATCCAACACTCAGTCTATCTCGAAACAGCCTCATCGTATACCTTTTTTCTTATTCATTGACAGTTGTTAACAAGATTGTCGCCAAGCTGCCTATCTCATTTTGATTTGCTTATATTATTATTATATATTATATATTATATGTTCTGTAATATCTTTACGTATTCCTGTATTTTGTTTTTATTTTTTATTCTAGAATGTGCACTTTTCTCTGTATGATTTATAAATATATATTAATTTGATGTTGTCCTTTTCGAAGCTGTCAAGTTTGTTTGGAAGATGAGCTATCAAAAGCAACTACCACGACATGGTTGTGTGGACAAGCAGACAGCTATTTATTTGCTTGGATGTTTACACCTATGAAAGTTGATGCATTTTGGATAGGACTGAAACGACATTAAATTTTATGGAATTTTAGCAGACCCCTGTATTTAAGTTCTCTATTTAAGATAATGGGTTTTTCTGGTTTTTTTTTTTTTTTTTTGCACATATATGAGAGTTTTTGTAAAATATCTGATTAATATTTTTTAACTGATTTGATCAATTGAAACCGTTTAACTTGATTAAATAATTAAATTGGTATTTGATAAAATAGCTTATTGACAATTTGACATAGCTATTTGGTTCTATAATAAGTTGATTTTCAAAACACCACTGTAATGCATATTTCTTATCGACTTATTGTAAATTTTTTTTAAAGGCGAGTTATTAATACTTGAAAAGCTCTTATGTTTTAGCATGATTTTACTGTTTTTTTTTAAAGACTCCCTTAACCCTTGATTCTAGTTTAATTTGAATTGAATTGTGCTCATCTAATCTCAGTACTTTTTTCCCTTTTCTTCAAGTATTTGTTCTTTAAAATTAAAATTAACTGCAATGTAGAAGTGTAGAACACAAAATTTTATTGTACTTTTTTAATAGCCTACGAACCAATACAACCCCAAGATTATAGATAAAGATTGATGGTTACCATACATATGGCCATTTTACTGACACATAGAAAGATATGGGTAAAAATTGTAGTAAATTTTAATAATTATATAATAATTTTTGTATATATCTAAGCAAGTATTATTTGGTGAATAAAGGCTTTCTAAAAAGATAAGAATATTTGACGTCTTACTCTAAGACAAGATATCATTAGTCAGAGTTTCATAGAGCAAATTCAAGGGGATCTATAGAAATATTTAATATAATCAAGCTCATTCATCCTTAAGAAGTTGCATTTAGAGAGTTTTTGGTATTTTTAAGGTTTGATATAAGACATTTCAAAAAAAATGCAAATATATTCATTAATGGATCAAATAAAATAATTTATTCGTGTTTTTTGCAAAATTGCATTAATTAGAAAAGGCACAATTAGTGTCCTAGGATTTAGAATCACTGATCAAGATTCATAGCATACCTCCTAATATTTTTTAAGATGTTAAAGTTAATTCTACACTAATGGTTTCTTTGAAAACCTAGAAAATGATTTTTTCTGGGTTTTCAGTGTTTGTCAGAAGGAAAAAATTAGAGTCAATGAAAATTGATTCCCATAAATGGAAAAACAAAGCCAATTTTTTAGAAAATAACTTACCCTCTTTTTGGGGGAAGTTATTTCCCAGCGCAGCTTTCTCCATCTCCGGACGAAAACCCACATCGATGATTCCCATCAGGAACCAATCTCTGGTTCTCGACGGATACAGTTCGAAATCAGAAACATGATTAACTGGTTTCTAGCTTCTGAAACCAATTTTTTTATATGAAACCATTGTTCATTTTTTAAATTTTATATAAATAATTAACACTGTTTTTTTTTATGAAACCATAGCTCATTTTTTGAAAAATGAATCAAACATACAAAGACAATTTTCTAAAATGCAACCAAACACAGAAAATAAAAATATTTTTTAAAAATTAAATTATTTTTTAAAAAATAATTTTCAGAAGTCATTTTTCAAATTTCGAAATACTCTAAAACGATAATGATATGAAAATCCAAGATGACAATTATTCAGAATAGCATTGTCTGTAGTTTGATAGAAACTACGTTTCTAGAGTATTATGAGCTATTTTTTTAAATCATTTTATTAACTGTTATACTAAATTATTATTAATTGCTTTATGTTTATTTTATTTTTATTAACTTTTGTTATTATTATAAAATTATTAATTATTAATAATAAAACAAAAAAATAATTAGTAATAATAAAAACAACAATAACAATAATTTATAAATTTAAATTATTTTAAAATTTATATTTAAAGTTTAAAATAATACAATACACTTATTACTCTTATATGTCATTTTATATATAATCAGCTAATAGTAAATAATTAATTTACAAAATATTTTTTCTACAACTAGCTAATACTATTATCAACTAGTCAAGACAACTTTTATCTATCATCTAATTGTCAAACACACCCTATAATTAGTTATAAATTATCTTGGCAATATTACTTGTTGGGGTTAATAACTGCTGGGAAGAGATCAAAAAGAAAAAACAAAAAAGGGTATAAGTTTAATATTTGAATTTTGGTTGAAGTACGTATTGTTCTTTGTCTTTCTAGTTAAGATCCCCGAAAGACTAATGAAAATTACATAAAATTCTTATTAATATGAAGATCGAACTAAAAACACAATTATAGTTGACACTAAGTTTACATTTCAAATTATTTACAAAGAAAGTTTATATTACGGATATAATTTAGATGTTAAAAGTGTTGTTTTCACAATTAATTGTGAAGGAATAATATTTTTATAAATATTATAAAAAATAAATTGATGAAAGAAGTTCATTGTAATTGGATGCACAAGGCTGGCATAGATGGAATTTGGCAATTCCCTTTACTTCTGTTACAATCCAATTGAATGGGCCCCCCACCAACCAACACAGATATAATGAGGAGAAAGTGACACAAAATACTGAAAAGAATGTTTGACAAAATTAATTTGACATCATGTGTCATCATGTTTTTTTCTTTTATCATAAACACTGTACTATACATACATATAATTACCCCAAATTTTATATTACAAGTCAAACCTCGAGAGTTAGCTGACTTTAGCTTCTATTTCCGGTCTGATGTTTATAAAAGAAAAAAAAAAAGTGAAAATTGATCTGATTTATTCATTTGACAGTTAATAGTTGTTAAAACATAAAAGAGAACAAAAATATTTAAGGTCAGATTTAGAATATTTTTTCACAAAAAAAAGGTCAATTTTAGAATTAAAATTGACATATATTTTTTTACAGTCATTGATGAATTGAACTCTAATAGGTGGTTGAGATAAGTACGTTCTCACTTTTATTGGAATTTGATTGTAATTCACTTAGAGGTAATCGGATCATTAAAATAATGAAATTAAATAAGAATCTCGTGTCACAATTTTGAATATATCTTAAAATCTTGTGTGAGTTTGAAAGAATTATATTTTTGTGAATGGGTTTGGATGAATCATTTCACCCAAGAGAGAGAGAGAGAGATTATATTAAATTATGTTACGAAGAAATTTGAGAATCATCATCCACCATGCACGTATATCATTATATTATATTATATTGTTACTCAATGTTAGTTGTTTTGATGAATTATATTGTTGAATGTTAATGAAGCTACGGTTGCCAGAATGATAGCTGCAGCATGCGTGCATGGATAGATGGAATTTGATGAATGAAGTATGGCATCCATATATTGGACACACCTTATAAGTTATAATAATAATATAATGACAATTATATTCTTAAAGTCAAGAGACTTCTTTAATTTGGTGAATAAATAAATTAAACCCAAATTATGATGGTGGGTTTCGAGCTAATAATAATAGCCCTAAAGAACCACACAAGCATCAATGCCACATAAAAACTCTTCTCAATGAGCCACTAACCACCAACTAGTATATATAATTATATTGTCTTGATGACATGCTATCATTGCGCGCTGCAAAGTTCTCTAGTTTTGATCAACATTTTCGTCCAACTTAATATTAATTAGTCGGTATTCTTCAAAAAACCATATATACCTTTCATATGGTGAAGATAAATGGGCAGTAAGTTGGTCGGAATATCCTTCGAACATATATCGTTTGATAGAAATTATGATGAGTTGGACGTTAATACCCACATGACTAGTATGTAAGAAGTAAAGATGGTTGGTTTGATTATACACCGACTTACAGTGTTCGTGGGACGTAATTGAAGTTTGACTATTTAAATACACATCTGCATATTTCAACTCATTTAATTTATTCCAATTCACGATTCATCCATTTTTACTCTTCTTTCTAGTTTAGGGCTTGCTTCTTTGTTCCAAATCAGCACTGGTAACAACTTATAGAGTTATTTAAAACAAAATATATTTTTAGTTGTGTATGAGTAGAAAATAATAACTTTTAATTTTTGTGTGTGTTTTTTAGAAATGCATATACATTTGCGTGATATTATATATCATCTCTTATTGTCGTCGTATATTAATTAGTGTAAACAATGTATTTCATTTTGATATTAATTAGTGTGTATATATTACTTTATTTGTTATTCACATAGAATTTATTGACAACATGTAAAATTAACATAATTGCTAGACAAACATAATAAAAAAAAAAATTACAAAATACAATAGTGACCTTCCAACGCTTGCTGAAACTAAACTTATACAATTAATTAAAGAAAATAATCATGCATCCGTTCAAATTTAGCTATTAATTAAAATTAATAAAGAATCAATAATTAATAAACCGTTATTATTTGATTTCATTAAAAAAAAAAAAATGGTGAGGATGTGCGTAATCCTCTCTGGGTGAGTGGCTCTCCCCGCCCCCGCGATGATCGTCGTCTCCATCTCCCCCCTCCGTTTATTTCCAACTGAAAATCATATATAAATCCCATTCCACTCCGCTTAATAATTCATCCTGCTTTTGCCTATCTATCTATCTATCTATCCTCCTCCTCTCCTCTGCTCTATCGTTTAACATTCTTTTATTGTTCTAAGTTCATTCCCTATCCCAAGATGTCGTGGCAAACTTACGTTGATGAGCACCTCATGTGCGACATCGAAGGCAACAAACTCACCGCCGCCGCCATCCTCGGCCACGACGGCAGCCTCTGGGCCCAGAGCGCCAACTTCCCTAAGGTCTCATCGTCTTCTCATTCATTCATTCATATCTATATATAAATATATCTCTAACTAATTTATTTCTATATTTATTGCAGTTCAACCCACAGGAAATCGCAGCCATCCTCAGGGATTTTGATGAACCCGGGTCACTTGCCCCCACCGGCCTCCACCTCGGTGGCCAAAAATACATGGTCATTCAAGGCGAGCCGGGTGCCGTTGTCCGAGGCAAAAAGGTATCCCTGTCACCCCTAATCACGTTAATTCAATAACTCATTATAGTGAAAAGACTCGTATTTAGTCCCCGTAAACTGTACTTACCATCTATCATCTAAGAATCAACTTAGCTTAATTCTTATCTAAACCATTCATAAATATTGAATTTAGGGACCCGGTGGTCTTTGCGTCAAGAAGACTACTCAATGCTTACTGTTTGGACTATATGACGAGCCAATGACTCCTGGGCAGTGCAACATGGTTGTCGAGAGGCTTGGAGATTATTTGGTTGATCAGGGTTACTAATCAATCAATCATCTTCATCTGAATTGGTACGTATATACATATATATTTTTGTCTTACAATAATATATAACATCCTTAATTAGTTTTGTTTATATCTAATAATGTTTGGTTTTTGGAAATTCAGGTTTAAGGTTATTATAAAATGAGTCGGAGCAGAGAGCCAAAGTACTGCAAGTAGCAGTGATAGATGCAATCTGTTTCTGGATTCTTCAACAAGTCTTCAACAATGGAGTTTTTTATTTTTATTTTTATAACATTTTTTGTTTCCTGTTTTGGTTTTGTATGCTTTTCAATTAATTACTGCCATTTTAAATGGGTGCGTGCGACGGATTTGATTGCACGCACTTCATAATATTTGGCTGTGTATTTTTTATTTTATTTTATTAAATAATAATAATTACATAAAGTTTTGCCAATACAATGTCATTACTTTTGATACCATCAAATTATCATCTCTTTCTATTTTTAACTATGCTGCCCAAAATAATAATAATAATAATAATCTTCAAAATAATAATAATAATAATAAGAAAATGTTCCTTTAATAATAATTATATGCATAGACACTTGTAGCAACTAAGGGCATCTAAAATCAACTCTCAACTAGGATTCCAAAACAATAATCTAACTATAACACTATTTTGACTAAAAAGGAATTTTTGCATATCCTAAACATTTGATACCTTCGCTAGCAATAAAATTAATAAAAGCAAAACAATTAAATATTTGGTCAATAATTCTTAAATCAAAACAACGGATAATTTGAGAAATTGTCACATACATTTCATTTTATTAGAATGTTAGAAATTTACATTTAATAAAATTGGAATAATAGAATAAAGAAGATAAAATTAGAAAAGTTAAACCGCTCTTGTTTTACTTCTCTAACTAAAATTTTTGCAATCAAAATGATTAATTGTTCTAATCATTCCAACTGTAGTATTTCAAATAGCCTTCTAAACAAGTAGTCAGTCACAATTTATGCAAACAAAGGTATTTGGTTTTCCTTATGAACGTGAATATAAAAGTGATTAATAAGGAAATTGTGAGATGAGTTTTTTTTTTTTTTTTTAATTATGCCTAAATTATAGACACATCTCATAAATGATTGCTCTATACAACTTTTTTCCTTTAGTTATGTTGTTGTTTCAATCCAATACTTATAAACTTTGTTAAAATTAAATTTTTATTTTGATTTGCCCATTTTTTAGTATAACAAAATAGCTTTGTTAATAATAGTAAATATTGAGTTTGTTGTAATATTTTTATTACACGAAAATATAAGACGAATTTTCTCTATTATTAAATACAAATTTAGTTCTTTGTTGAGTTTGTTGTAACGTTAATTACACGAAAATATGAGATGAATTTTTTCCATTATTAAACATTAAATTTAGTTCTTTGTTGTAATGTTGATTATACAAAAATATGAGATGAATTTTCTCTATTATTAAAAAATTTAATTCTTAAATGTTTAATGAGGTATAAATAATTCTTAAATTTTTAATCGTGTTTCAATTTTGACCTTCTCGTAATAAATAATTAGAAAGCAAATTTTTATCAATAATTAAAATTGTAATATGACATGATTAAAATCGCAATGCAATAAAAATTTTGAGAAATATGTTCTTGATATATCAGTGAAAAATAAATTATTAAAAATAATTAGTAGAAAGACTTAATTGCACTTACATAGTAAAGACACGTGAATGAGTGTAATATAGAAATTCATATTATATATTTTCAATTATAGAATTCATTTCCCTGAAATTTATAAATAAATAATGGCCACTTTGTTCTCATGTAATCAACATTACAATAAACCCAACATTCACTTGAAATAATCAATGTTAAAAAGTTTCTTTTTATATACTTAGAAAAAATTAACAAAATGAACAATTTGTCCTCTAATAATTTGAGAAATCAAAATAAATTCTAAACTGAGTCTACAATTTAGACATAACTAACGGAGTAAAATCACCATTTTCCCTCTCACAAATGTTATATTACCTCAGAGAGAATAAACAGATTCTTTATCTCTCATAAAGTAATTCATGAAACAGGCAAAAAACTCATGTAACTAGTTAATGCATGTTCATGCTAAAATTACAAAGGCAAGTTTGTGTATAAAGCAAGGATATTTCCTGGTTTAAATACCAGGAAATAACAAAGCAATATCATTAAAAGTATCAAGAGGGTGAGTATAAATAGGTCATCAGATCTTGTAAACTGGGGTGATACCCAATAAGTGGAAGCACTTTCTCATCACAACTGCGGTTGCTTCACAAAGCAAGAGCCTACTTGTTTCCTGGGCCGAGCCAACCACCTGAAAACCGCAAAGTCAAGTCGTTGGATAATGTAAAAGTACTTTTTCACCGATAAAACATGGCATAACATAGCATTTTTAGCTTCTAAATTGCAACAAAATTCTAAGGTGTTTTATTTAATTTCGAGAAACTCCACATATAGGGAAGTTTAGACACCTTAGCAACCACCATCATATTCAGACAATAATCTATAAGGGAAATAGTGGTCCTCAAGATAAGATACAGCTAAGTTCTTATTCCACAAAATGATTTATCCACCTCAGCAAATGGGAACAACATGTTGAGGGTAATGCAGCAAGACATGTTATTTGATGGTTTACGCCATGGAAGTACGTATCACTTCATATTCAAAACCAAATTTACTTCTTTTTTTTTACAAAAGGATAACACAGTCAACTAAGGAGGTATATTGAAAATTGGTAAATGCAACCATGATTAGATTTGTTATCTTCCTACTTTAATCTTCTAGGCTCCCTACATTAATTAACTATGTAAAGAAGGTTTTCCTGTTTTAGATTTTGTTTTTATTCTACTAGTTTCATATAATTATCCATAGAGAGCTTGCATACCTGACAATTTGTGTAGAATCTTGTGAAGTCCTCGGATAAGTTATAGAGATACTCGCACAATAAATTCGGTAGAAGATTCGTACAAGCTTCTTCAACAACCTACAAGAGTGAAAAGAAAAGAAAATGCAAAATTGATACTCTCGTAGCTAAGATTGATGCCAAGCAGATGAGAATAGGGATTATTAATTTACCTCAGGAAATTGGAGTAAATGGAGTCCCAACATTCGCTCATCTTGATGAGCTAAATCTAGTGTCCCAGTCTGTTCAATAACCATAACATCAGTCCAAAAAATTAACTAAAACAGTGGAGAATTCTAGTTTGGAGATTGTAAGTCTGCAATCATTCACAGGCACTACAACATTGCCATGGTCTGTGCTTTTTTACAAGGATACTTGGGCAATCAATAAAAAAAATCCCTAAAGCCAGGCTTAGCTCATCTCAGTTGCCATAAAGTGGGTGGGTGGGTTGTTAAAGTGAAGATGAAAATGGAGCTGAAATAAGATAAAGGAAATTAAAAAGTGAATGTTATAGGATCATCTTTCCTCTGTTACTTCAGTATTTTTCTTTTCTTTGGGAGGTGGGGAGGGGTGATAAGACACATCAGGTATGATATTGATAAAAAAAAAAAAACTCAACTCAATTACTTCACATGTTTTTCCAGATGAAAATCTAAACCCCCTGATGATGTGCTATATAAATTAGCTCCAAATCTCCAAGACAAAGTACCCCTATAAAATTAGCATAACATCCCAAATGAACACTACATAGAAAATGAAGGTAAAATACCTTTTTTAGCTCCTCTATGTCTTTTCCTGATTTCCTGATGATTGAACAGATTCGTGCATGTGCATACAGTAAATATACAGCAGTATTACCCTGATAATTGAGAATAAGCCAAGTAAGATCAATATAGTACTTGGAATTGACTAAGGAAAGAAACAAGAGAACTAACTTTTGAGTTGAAAATTAGATATGTAGTTACAAGGAAGCAATTCTAGCAACAAACCTTGTCGCTGAGCATCTGATCAAAATTGAAGGTGTAATTGGTCAATCTATTGTTTTTCAGGTCGGCATATCTGTTTTAAATCAAATATCAAACACCCAACAAAAAATTGTTAGACATTCCCACGCAGAAAAATAAAAACTCAATAGCAACCACATCATGTCACCATTCATTGGTCAGTTGGTCACAGCCATTTTTCCGCTGTTAAGAATTTTATTGTCCATTGAAATACAGAGAAATCAGTTCATGGATATCTAAGTAGAGGCAAGCTGATAAAGTGGCCTAGGGTTGACTGTTTTTCCTTTTCCAGTGTATTAAAGGGAAAGTAACCCAGCAAAATAGCAAAACTCTTCTTCCAGATGTTATTCTTCTTTCATCCCTTTGAGCAGGGAAATCTCAGCTCAAATCTAATCTGTCCAGTTTCTTATTTAAAGTCTCCATTTATAACATGAGGATAGCTGGCCAAAAGTCCAACCCATGTTAGCTTGCAGACTGTCAGCGCAAAGATTTATCAAATCTATTGAGCTCGAGTCTACAGGACATCAATGCCCAGTTTACAACAAGCGACTCCAGCATGGATTCATGGAATTTCATTGTATTTCCCTTGTCAAGATGAGAGATAGAGAGAGCTGCAGCATAAGTGTGCATAGTTGAAAGGGACTTACTTAACAGCACCATATCCAACAGCTTCAGCAGTTTGCTCAAGCTCCTCTTCAGTCCACTCTTCCGCTTTGCCTGATGATAAGTTAGAGTCAGAGTAGGATACATTGTCTATTGCATTTTTTGTCAACATTATGCCAAAATAATTTATTGAACAAAAAGGGAATACAAGAAGGCAAAACTAAGCCAGCCTCAAAATGTCAAACTAAAGAGACAACAACCATGCAATTAATGACATACCTCTTTCAATGAGAGCAGTTTTACACCGACTCTTGGCCTCATCAAGTAAATCAATCAACTTGACAACTTCAGTACTCCGAGTTCGGAACCGTTTCCCATCTTCTCCTAAAACCAGACCAAACCCCACATGGCTAGCTTTGGGATATGCATTCTCATCAGATGGAAACCAACCTGCAAGTCTTGCAGCCTGGAAAAAATTTGGGGTAAAACATAAAGCAGTTATAATTTTCAATATATCAGAACCTGTTTCCTGTGACAAATAGGACATATACATGAAGATGTGGTATTAAACACCTACAGCAAAAACCATTTCAAAGTGTTCACGCTGGCCAACATCAGTGACATAAATCATCCACTCTGCTTTTTCTTCATTAAGGCGGTACCTATAAATTTGCAAATATGATATTAAAGCATCTTACTAAAACCCCACATATATTTTATCACAAAAGTGATATTAAAACATTTGAGTGCATTCAAACCTTTTACAGATTTTAAGCAAAAGCATATCTTTCTACAAGTTAACAGACTACCCACTTCCCAAATAAAGATATGCAGTCTAGCATGCTCCTTAACATATATCAAGTATTTTCAGCATGAACCATATTCCTATTTACAGTGAACT